GTGGATATTAATTTCGAAGATGAAATTAAGGCGTTGATTTTGATGTCATCTCTGCCCGAGTCTTGGGATACTGTTGTTGCTGCGATAAGCAGTTCCCGTGGATTTGAGAAAATGAAGTTTGATGAAATCCGTGATGTTGTTCTTAGTGAAAGTATTCACAAACGAGAAATGGGAGATTCATCGGGCAGTGCTCTCAGCGTTGATCGAAGGGGGAGAAGTAAGACGAAAGGCTAAAATCAACATGGTCAATCAAAATCAAAGAATCGAGGAAAATCCCTGAACAGATCAAACGTGACTTGTTGGAACTATGGAGAAAAAGGGCACTTTCGGACGAACTGTACAAAGCCAAAGAAGAAACAGAATCAGAAATTTAGAGATGACAATGATTCTGTAAATTCAGCAGAGGACATTGGGGATGCTCTAATCCTTAGTGTGAACAGTCTGGTTGAATCATGGATTTTGGATTCTGGTGCATCTTTCCATTCGTCTCCAAGCAAGGAGTTGTTCTAAAATTTCAAATCTGGAAATTTTGGAAAAGTATATCTTGCTGACAATAAAGCCTTAGAGATTGAAGGAAAGGGGGATATTTGCATAATGACCACCTCGGGAAACCACTGGACATTGGAGGATTTCAGATATATTTCTGGGATCAAGAAAAATCTGATCTCTGTTGGTCATTTGGATAACACGGGATATGCAGCAGAGTTTGGAAAAAGTTCGTGGAAGATCGTGAAAGGTGCTATGGTAGTAGCTCGTGGCACCAAATCTGGAACCTTGTACACCACTGCAGGGTGTATAAACATGGCCGCTGTTGCTGAAGGTGCTTCTGGTTCATGTCTGTGGCACAACAGACTTGGACACATGAGTACTAAAGGAATGAAGATGCTGGTTGCAAAAGGAGCATTAGAGGGTCTGAAGTCTGTTGATATGGGTCTTTGCGAGAGCTGTGTTATGGGCAAACAGAAAAGAGTAAGCTTCACAAAGACTCCTAGAGAGCCAATGAAAGTGCGGTTGGAAATGGTCCATACGGATGTTTGGGGACCATCTCCAGTATCATCACTTGGAGGATCCAGATTCTATGTTACCTTCATTGATGATTTCAGCAGGAAGGTACGGGTTTACTTCTTGAAGCATAAGTTAGATGTGTTTGCAACTTTCAAGAAGTGGAAAGCTGAAGTTGAGAATCAGAGCGGTTTGAAAGTCAAATGCCTAAGGTCTGACAATGGAGGAGAGTATGACAAATTAGAGTTCAAGGCATTCTGTGCAGCTGAGGGAATCAGATTGATGAGAACGGTTCCTGGTAAGGCAAGGCAGAATGGAATTGCTGAGAGGATGAACAGAACATTGAATGAGCGTGCAAGGAGTATGAGGATACATTGTGGGCTGCCCAAAACACTTTGGGCGGATGCTGTGAGCACAGTTGCATACTTGATCAACAGGGGACCATCAGTTCCTTTAGAGTTCAAGATTCCAGAGGAGGTGTGGACAGGAAAAGAACTCAAGTACTCACACTTGAGGACTTTTGGTTGCACTGCTTATGTTCATGTTGATCCAGAAAAGAGAGACAACCTTGATGCCAAGGCTGTGAAGTGTTACTTCATAGGCTATGGTTCTGATTTGTTTGGTTACAGGTTTTGGGATGACAAGAACAGAAAGATCCTGAGACATTGTGACATGACATTTGATGAGTCTGTCCTGTACAAGGATAGAGAGTAGAAGGTTCTAGAGATTACAAAGCAAGTGGGAGTTGAGGTTGAGTTGGAGAAGAGTAACCCCAGAGATGTCGAAGCAAATACTCAACCAATTCCTACTGAAGAATCTTAAGTAGAGCAAGTTACACCTGAGCAGGTGTTAAGGAGATCATCCAGATCCATCAGAGCACCAGATAGGTATTCACCTTCATTACACTATCTATTGCTGACTGATGAGGGGGAACCAGAGTCTTTTGATGAGGCCCTACAGGTGGAGGATTCGATCAAGTGGGAGCAAGCTATGGAAGATGAGATGAGGTCACTTGAGAAGAACGACACATGGGTGTTGACTGAGTTACCTGCAGGGAAGAGAGCTTTGCTGAACAAGTGGGTGTTCAGAATCAAGACTGAACCAGATGGCAAAAGAAGTTCAAGGCTCGTTTAGTGATTAAAGGATATTCACAAAGGAAAGGTATTGATTATGCTAAAATATTCTCTCCTGTTATGAAGTTAACCTCTATTCGAATTTTGTTGAGTGTTGTTGCATCGGAGAATTTGCATCTAGAGCAAATGGATGTAAAAATAGCGTTTTTACATGGAGATCTGGACAAAGAGATCTATATGCAGCAACCGGAAGGATTTGTGGTTCCAGGCAAGGAACACATGGTGTGCAATCTCACCAGGAGCTTGTATGGATTGAAGCAAGCACCAAGGCAGTGGTACAAGAAGTTTGACTCCTTCATAACCAAGAGTGGATTCTGCAAAGCTGAAAAGGATCCTTGTTGTTACTTCAAGAAATACACAGATTCATATGTCTTTCTACTCTTGTTTGTGGATGATATGTTGATTGCAGGATCTAGTACGAGGGAGATTAACAATCTGAAGACAAGGTTGTCTGCAGCATTTGAGATGAAAGATTTGGGTCCAGCAAAACAGATTTTGGGGATGAAGATTTCTCGGGATAGATCTGCTGGCACTTTAAATCTATCTCAGGAGTTGTACATTGAGAAGGTGTTGAGCAGATTCAGGGTTAATGATGCTAAACCCAGGACTACTCCATTGGTAAATCACTTTAAATTGTCAAAGGAGCAGTCACCCAAGACTACCGAGGAGTGTGATCACATGGCACTTGTTCCATATGCTTCAGCAGTTGGTAGTTTGATGTATGTTATGGTTTGCACTAGACCTGATATAGCACATGCAGTGGGAGTTGTTAGTAGGTACATGGTGAACCCTGGGAAAGAGCATTGGGAAGCTGTGAAGTGGCTTTTGAGATATCTGAGAGGTACATCCAGTACTTCACTTTGTGGCAAAGACAAGGTGACTCTACAGGGTTTTGTGGATGCTGATCTTGGTGGGGATGTTGACTCGAGCAAGAGTACATCCGGGTACATTTACACCATTGGTGGAACAACAGTGAGTTAGATGTCCAGACTTCAGAAGTCTGTTTCTCTTTCATCTACTGAAGCTGAGTATGTGGCAATAGCTGAAGCTGGGAAAGAGATGATATGGCTGGTAGATTATCTTGAGGAATTAGGCAAGAAGTAGAGCGAGAAGATTCTTTACTCAAATAGCTAGAGTGTCATACAGTTGGTGAAAAATCCAGTCTATCATTCGAAGACAAAGCACATCAGAAGGCGATACCATTTCACTCGCAGGGCAGTGGAGCATGGTGATATGTGCTTGGAGAAGATAGAGGGTGTAAAGAACCCGACAGACATGTTGACGAAATGTGTTGATGTTGGGAAACTGAGGTTATGTAAAACCTCGGTTGGTCTTCTGTAGTTGTTGCTACAGATGTTGCGGTGCGGTAAAGATGTTGATGATGAAGAGATTTTTTTTTGAGAATGTATTTTTTGGATGACTGAGTCAGTCTCCAAGTGGGAGAATTGTTAGGTAGCGGAGCCTGATTAATTTTAGGTTTTCCTATTTATTATCTATTTTAGGTTTTCCTATTTATTCTCTATTTTAGGTTTTCTGATTTATTCTCTGTAACCAAAAATACTCTGATTTATTAATATAAATATACCTCACCGCCGTGAAAGTTTACTCACGGGGTGTTACCACGAAATATTGTGTTTTCTCTTTCTCTCTCATCTCTTTCTCTTGAAAGTTCTTGTGTTCTTCATTCATCTAGTGTGTGTGCGTGAATTCGATCCTAACAATGTGGTCTTATCTAATACCAAGGATACCTAGGGATTACTAATACCATGTTTCATAAACCTTGAATAAAGCAACAAAATGACTAAACTGCCTCTCAATTTCTTTATACTGTACTCAACTGCCCAAGAGAATTCGGTTGACTTTTTCAAAAACATTACAAATAAATGTTGCCAATGCGGATGTAATAAACTGAAAACTGATTATTAATTTGTTATTATAATTTAACCCTGTATGTTGATAAATAGAGTTACATATAATTACCATTTAAGTAATTTAATTGTGTAAATAATTTATATATTATTAATTCATAGATCTTAAACTCTTAATCATTAATTGACAATCTTGTAAAAATATAATTAACCTAGATAATTTGCCACATTTATCCTTTTACTATTTTTACTTTGATTACATATTCTTTTTTTGATGGTTAATAGAAATTAAACATATACTGCAAATCAATTATTCAATAACCATTTTATTTTACATTTTTTTTCACAATTAATATGTCCATAATGTTATACATAAAATAAAAAGTCACATAATAGTTCAAAGGTATAATTGAAAATAAGCCTTTTGTAGAGTCTTAAGCCACAAACAAGATTGTATTGGAAATAATGAAAGAAACACTTGATAAAAAATAGTCCCTAATCCTTGCATTGTTAATTCTTACATTACTAATTTCTGCATTATCACTCTTCCTACCAAAGGACGTCTTAGAGTCTAACTATGTACTTATATATATATATAATGGAAATGATGTCCTAACATATGATGTGCTATGAAAATTTTAAATTTTCAGCTAAATTTACCTATGACAATGCGATGAATGATAACTATGGGCTTATATAAGATCATCAAGAGGAAAAGTACGCCATGTTACTTCTAGGGGTGCTCCCCGATCGTGACAACGCAATTGAGATGCTTGAGAGATATTTGAATGCCACGTAAACTAAAAAGGTACACCAAATTACAAAAAATAAATTCATAATAGAATTTTAATTAAGTTAATCTGTGTGTGTCTGAAATTTCGATTATAATCTACTTTCTCTCAAAATATTGACATTTTGAAGGAGAAATAGTGTGTGATTAAAAAAAAATAAAAATGGTTCCATTTGAACCCGAAGAAGCGGCTATATATTCGTATCAGTTTTAAGTGGAATGAAAATCCTCTTTCACCTTCTTCAACCTCCTGCGAATCTATGGTATCTCTGATACAGAGGTCTGGATTTATGCGTATATACAGTATACATCATTGAAAATCAGATCAAACGACTATGAGGAGCGTTTCAACTTCACTCTGCAGTTGTTTCTCCATTCTCATACTTGTTCTAGCCCCAATCTCATTCGCTCAGGGATACATGTAAGTCCTCTTACCATCACTATCCGATTTTACCTTACTTTTTTTTTGAAAAAATTTAGATCCCTATGTGAGTTTTAAGGGCTCTTGGCTAGAGTAGTGATATAGATAACATTAAGAGGGTTCGAAATAATAGTGATTGGGAATTGAACTGAAATTTGAATGCCCTAAACGACTGACCCAATATATTGTTGGATTTAACTTTAATACTGAGTTTGTTGTTGTTGCTATGTAGATCCCTATGTGAATTTTGCAATATATCGTTGGATTTATCTTTAACACATAAATTTGACCTTTTAGTATACAAATCCATGCTTATTATGGATAGTTTACGTATACGCTATAAGGATTTCCGTTGCAGAGTGTAGAATTTGTATACCTTTTCCAAGTTACCTGAAATTGTTCTTTAAATAATTGCAGAATGTAAATATGTTATAAAAGCTGAAATTTATAATGTTATAGGATGGATATAAAAGTTTTGCAAGTCGGACAGGAGCTAATGAAGGAAACTCTTCCATTACAATCCGGATCGAGACTATATGAACTGCAAGGGTTGAATTCCAATAAGTGGTATGAAGTGAAGATCTCATATCCTGCTTCTGTATGTACATTTGCATTCTTCCCTATTACTAGATTTCTATACCTATTGGTAGTTAAAGCTTAAACCTTTACTTTTTCAACTTATAACAGATACCAGCTACTTTTACTCTACAACTAAGTAAAGGAAGTTCAGGGCTAAATGTTGGTAGGAAGTTACTGAATACTGAAAAGATTATTTTTCAGGCGGACAACAGTCTTCAATTGCTTGGTGACGAGGTTTGGTTATGTCTGCATGATATATAATGATTGTCATCTATTCTTTTGCTCATTTTTACCTCTGAAGAGGCACTGATAATGAAATTTTTCACAGGGAAAAATGTTTGTCCTGGTAAATGTGGAGCCTGAGGGAATTGTTGCAATACCTGGGGTAAAGGAGAGAGAGCACATCATATATAATATAGGTAAACATTTCCCCTTAATTGAGATAGTTCAGAGTTCCATCTAACATATTTAATCGTCTTCTCACATGCCAATATAGTAATTATGTTACCCGAGTTGTCATCATTTAGAAGTGAATTGGCAATTGTAATTTTCAGGCACACCTTAACCTCCTTTTTATCCCCAGAAAAAAAGAGTGGGAAGGTAGTAAGAATATTCACCTATGACTTGTATGTTTGAGTAACTTGCCATAAAAAATGAAAAAAAAAGAAAGATAAATACTATAACTGAACGCCTGCTAATAAATTGGAATTCACAAAATTAAAGGCGTATTCGCAAACACTCTTTGATCTAGGAAGCATATTTATGTTAAACAGAAAGATGTCAAAGTATGAAATGTTGAAATTTATCTAGGCTGTCAGTTAGCTTTACAAATACACCACGTCATAACAACAACAATTCCCAATGTCGAGCAATTTGGGGTCGGCTGTATGAATTGTCCATATTGCTTCAAGTGTCAAGTCCTTTAGATCTCTAAAACTTTGTGAGCTCCTTGAGTAGCTAGGAGTTTTTTGCATACACTGTCCCTGAGGGTGTAGCAATGATTAATGAATTGGGTTGAAAATCTTTGGTCTCAGGTTCAAAACCCACAGAGGCAAAAACACTAGGTGATTTTTTTCCTATTTGTCCAAAACGAAATAATGTCAATCAAGTAGAACAATTTTAGTTTCTGATTTAGATGAAAAAGTTATAATTTATATTTTTTGGGGCTGGTTTTCATACGGTACTAGATTCCTGACTTCTTCTTCCTTACGATTAGATTTTCATTCAGACTGTTTTCTAACAAGTAATGTATCAGTTTGCCAACTATATTTGTTGTCTAGTGCTGTCCTATTAAAGACAGTGTCTACAGTTGATGCCCTTGTATCTTAGCACAGACAGTAAAGCACCACCTATACGGGGTGATGCGTGTAACCTTTGTGAATTTACACCATTCTATCCAAAACATCCCTAGATATGCTTTCTCAAGTTCATCCTAGATGATATCTAACTGTTCTATAAAAACATAAACAATCAAATAAAAAGAATACTAGGCGTTATTTATCGATAGATTAAGAATGCCTGGCATAATGTCCATGTAAAATTTCACCGTAATCTTAGAATGAGAGTTTAGTTATGCATGTACATGAAAGAACAATACATTTTTAAGCCAAAACTCATAGAAAAGAGAAGGAAAGATAAATCCCCGATGAAGTCTCTAGTCTCCTCTCCAGTAGCTCGCAAGACATCAGAATGAGTGCCCCGGAAACAAGCCCAAACTATGTATAGCTTATGCGCAGAAAAGGAAAAGATAGAATAACGCTTGAGCTCTCGCTCAACATATCAAGTGCACTGTGCTGAAGAAATCTTTTTTCCCAGTGCGACTTTGTATGCGCTTGAGTACTACATTAATCTTTCATGTTCTAATATGTTGCATTTGGGTAGTTTGATTTTCTTTTTAATTCATAGTGTCCTGCTGTCTAGGACAATTTTACGACGATTTGCAGTAAGCCATCTTGATGCATTGAGCTTAATGCGATGCGGTGCGCTGTTTCACCTTTCTCCCTCTTGGGTGTCCCGTTTTCCTCCTCTTCTTGTCTTTATGGATTTAATCTTTAGTTTCTTTGCTCTGTGCTTGAGATCTTGAGCTTCATTGCACATAACAGTGGAAAATCATTCCTCGTACCAATTGCACCCACCTTCAAACAAACACACTTAGGCAGTTCAAACTTCAAAGCAATAAAATATCACTCAAGGCATTCAATTCAAATAAAGAGAATTGTGTTAAATGTTCGAAACATCTCTGGGTCATCAATTGTGTTCGTCGTTGTGATGATAGGGATTACAAATGTAGGCTAAAAAGTGGCTTGTAGGCTGTAGCTATAATATCTGAAGACGAATGAGGTCCTTTGGTTTGTTCCAACCCATTTACGGAGTGTAGCTTTGACTTCTGTATTATCTTGACCAGTATCTCGTTAAACTGTGTCCCTCTTTTCTTTGATGTTGAAATATTGTAATAACTATTGTGGAGCATTAGTCAATAGAAAACTTCTTAGCTCAATTGCGTATCTGCTTTTCTATACTGGTCTATCTACAATATGATCTTACCTGCAATTGTAAAATTTTGATTTGTGAAGTTTTGGAGAGCTTGTGGATTTCCTGTTCCTTTTCCCTTTGATGTTAGGACCATTAAAATGACTGTTTTCATGTAGAATATGGTCAAATGAACAGATTTTTTGATGATTATGACCCCTGTTTCGTGATATGCTTGCTGTCCAACAGCCTTGTCTCTGAAGCTTTTGGGCAGCTGTGGCCTGTGTATTTGTTAGTATCTTCAACTGTTACTCTTTCACAGTGTCTTGCTAATATTATGTGCATTTCCATGGCAGTATGTGATGAGCTACTATTTGGCATCCCTCATCAAGCATGGTATGTCGTAGTGCTGGTGGTGCTCTGCTTAGCACTGGCACTTGTAATCCCGTCATTTCTTCCATCCTATCTTCTACCAAGGAATCAAGGGTTAGATGCTGCTGATCATGGTATTTCTAAGGACTCTTGATCATGTTTTGGTATGTCACCTGTGACGTAACATACATTCAGCAATGGTAGTAGTAGATCTTGAAGCTCAAGTATTTAGAAAACTTTCTAACTGGTGTAAGGTAGTTTTGTTAATTGCAAATGATTAAGATCTACGTCATTACTCAATGCAACTCTCAAAACCCTATCTCTTTATGTACTCTTTTCCCTTCTCTTGGCTGTAAACACGGAGTTAGTTTGTGCTGTCATTTTTCTAGCTTGAATGAAGTATCAGCTTGCAAAATTATCATGTGATATTGTTCAAGTGAATTAACATCTACTAGCCCCTGTTCATAAATGTGCCCCTTGTTATTAGCGGAAAGGAATCCTATTTCAGAACCAGGAGAAGCATCAAGATACATGTGATACACCTTACTTTTCCCATACTGTTATCTTTCTCGAGGTAAAACCAGGAACCTTTTCTCCATTTTAGACCATAATTCACTTTCTCCATGTTTTCCTTCTTCCCCGCCAATTGTTTGATCATGAATGCTCATAAAACTAAAGGCTCATGCCAAGCTTCCCATCACCCCTCATGTCAGACCACCCAAGAAGATGATGCCTATGTATTTTCATGTGTCCTTTGGGTCCCCCCCACTTCATCACAAAAAATACTATATAATGCAAGACTTTCCTAGTCCTTTGCATTCATTCTCAGTTCCTTCCTAAAAAGTATAACAACCTCTATTGTTATAAGTTTTAGCCATGTCTGATCAGCAGAAAGAACTCCGTGGATCACCACCAAATTACGAAGCCTTGAGGCTCGTGGCAGCAGGAACACTTGGTGCTGCTTTGTTAGGCTTGTCCAGTCTTATCTTTGCAGGGACAGTTATATTTATGATCCTTGCAGCCCCATTCCTTGTCGTGTTCAGCCCAATTCTTGTTCCAGCTGCGATGATTCTCGTCTTGAGCACTGCTGGTTTCTTGTTTTCTGGTGGGAGTGGCATAGGGGGATTAGCTGCAATATTGTGGTTGTGTAGGAAAGCTCGTGGGCAACTCCCTTATGCTGCAGGCCAACTTGATTTTGCTAGAATGAGGATTGCAAGCAAAGCTTGGGATATGAAGGAAAGAGCTAAAGAGGGTGAACAATTTGTGCAGAACAAGGCCCACGAAAATACTGAAGCCTAACAATATGAAATGTTATTGAAGTGCAATTTGTGTTACCTTATCTTAAGACACTGAGTAATATCCTAATAATATAAAGTGGGAAAAGAGAATGTCTTGTTCCTACTGATCTTGATCCTTGTTAAAACTGCGTTCATATGATTTTTACGTGTTGTTTCATAATATATTGTATTGTATCGTATTTATTGTACTGTATTGTTTTAATGAATATAATATTTAAATAGATTGTATTGTGTCTGTTTGTTACATAATGTGATACATAGTGATATGGAACATTAGGGTAAATAATAAAATTTGATTAACTAAAATAAATATAGTATTTAAACTAATAATACAATATAACTTAAATAACACAAAACTAATATTGGATCACTCCTAATTTTCCACTAAAAAAGAATTGTATGTATCGTGGAACAAAATAACTTAAATAGCACGAAATTAATGTAAAAGATTCATATAAAAAACCCAAGCATTATTAATTTGAGGGTTAGAGAGTAAAAAAAAAAAGACACTTATATTATCCTATTTATTTAGTTCCACACTTTATTTCTTAAAACTGCTGATTGCCGTCCACCTAGCATATACAATAACTCTATTTATTTTTAAAATATATTTTTAATTGACTTGTTAAAAATTTTAAAACTTGTTTCCTTTTAAAAATGATGAAGACGCTCCTCCTCTAAAAAGGAATTAATTGAACAAAAAGAGTGCTAGATCGCTATTGGTCCACGTGGCACATTACAGAAAATATGACCGTTGTAAGAGAAATTATGTCCCCCGTCTCCTCCCTCTATATTCAAATCGAAAATAATTTCAAACGACTCACCATTCATTTTCTTTTTCCCGTTTAGCCGTCCACTCTCTCTCTTCTTCTCATTCTCTTTTCTCTCTCTGAAATAGACAATAGAGGATGGGGATCGCCATGGAGAACCAACCACAGCAACAACAACACAAGGTAAACAAATCCACGATTTTTTGTTGAAATTTGATTTCGAGCTTTTCGAAGAATTATGTGTAGGGATTCCCCTTCAGATTTTGAAATTTGTTGAGTATGTAGGGTTTTACATTGGACGAGCATGATTTCATTGAGTTTTTATCTCTTAATTTAGAAGATTTGCAGAGATTCCAGCTCGGTTTATGATATGATTAGGGTTTTTCTCTTCATTTTTTATGAACGGGATGATTTATTTATTTATGGTTTAAAATTCCAAATTTGATTATTGATGATATAATGTACAAGAAGAAGAAGAATTTGTTATTAATTTTTGTTATATGGACTACAGAATTTTCAACTTCTACAGACTTCATCAGAGGCATCATCAGAGGCTGATAAAAAGAGATGGACGCTTAATGATTTCGACATTGGGAAGCCTCTTGGAAGAGGAAAGTTCGGTCATGTATATCTAGCTAGGGAGAAAAGGGTAAGTTCTTAAAGCTTTATATGTTAAAAATGGCTGATAAAGCTACTTACTTTTTTCAAAACCTCAGATTTTATGCTTTGGGAATTAGTTATCTGCTATGGTAGTGTCTGGATACTCGAGGTTCTACATCAGGAGTTTTCTGTAGCATTTAATGGTAATGGTGGGAAGTTGTGGATGATATCTTATGGGCATGGCTTAAAAGTTTTTTTTTTTTGAATTCTATTAGATAGACTTGACATTCTACAATCACATTCCAATACTAAGGTTAGTTGTTTCTTGAAAACAGAGCAATCATATTGTTGCATTAAAAGTGCTGTTCAAGAGCCAGCTAAAACAGTCCCAGGTTGAACATCAGCTTCGTCGTGAAGTTGAAATACAAAGCCACCTTCGCCATCCAAATATTCTGAGACTTTATGGTTACTTTTATGACCAGGTAACTTGTCATAACTTCTTCTGCATTGCTTGTTCTCAATTTTTGGTCTTAAGAACTTTCAAGAGACTGATGATAGCACTTACTAATGCAGAAACGTGTGTATTTGATCCTGGAATATGCTGCCAAGGGTGAACTCTATAAGGAGTTGCAGAAATGCAAATATTTTAGTGAACGGCGTGCAGCAACTGTGAGTTCTTGTTGAATTACAAAACTGTGTAGGATTTCCTTTTTCATAATCTTGAATTACAGAATCATGAGAATTGGTAAATGAGCATTTTTTCAATTAACATTTTCAGTTCTGATCACATTCTAAATAGCCTTGAGTTTTGAGCAGATTTATATATCTCCGACATTTAAAGTATATTATCACGCCCTTCACATGTACATTCAAACTGACAATAAGTTCTCTATTTTTTTTCTTTATCTTTGATCTTGGAGCAGTATATTGCATCATTAGCCCGGGCTCTCATATACTGTCATGGGAAGCACGTAATACACAGAGATATCAAGCCAGAGAATCTTTTGGTTGGTGCACAGGTATATATTTAACATTGCTAAACAGTTTACACACTGCATTGCAGTAAAATGACAGCTGAAATTAATTATTTTTAATATTTCTGCTGTTAGGGTGAACTCAAAATTGCAGACTTTGGGTGGTCAGTGCATACCTTTAATCGAAGGCGGACTATGTGCGGCACCCTAGACTATTTGCCACCTGAGATGGGTATGCATGTTATATGATATGAATATTTTATGCAGAAGGTTTCATGTTATACGGCATTAGTTGGAAGTTTTATTTTAAATGATTTAGTATTTCTTTAACTGTTTTTACATTTTTTCTAATACATAAATTGCTGTACTTGCAGTGGAAAGTGTGGAGCATGATGCAAGTGTGGACATTTGGAGCCTTGGTGTCCTATGCTTTGAGTTTCTGTACGGGATGCCCCCATTTGAAGCAAAGGAACACTCAGACACATATAGGAGGTGAGATTTTCTTCCATAATGTAGATGTTACTTTACAAGAAATAGTACTTTTTGTACACAATTCCTCTCTTAGAAAATGTGTGAATTGCTATTCTCAAATCTCTAGTCACTAAATACTTCCAGAATCTCTTTCTCAACTTCAAAAACTCATGAATGAATATGAAATGACAATGAATTACACATATCATTACAAAAGTAGTACAATTTTCAAGCCTTTATTAAGCTAAATGTTGCATGGATGAGTGTAAAATGCCAGGAGATTTTTACGAATTTTACCAACTTAACACTCATGGGTGACAAGATTTTCGTATGGATATGACAGGATTGTGCAAGTGGATCTCAAGTTTCCTGCCAAACCAGTTGTTTCATTAGCTGCCAAGGACCTCATTAGTCAGGTTTTTCACAAATCCATTGATTGCTTTGAAATACAGCAGCTCGTAGTGTCGGGCCTAACTTGTTCTTTTGATTTCATGTTGTTGGGATATACAGATGCTTGTAAAGGATTCTTCTCAGCGTCTGCCCCTGAAAAAGGTACTTGAGCATGGTTGGATTGTGCAGAATGCTGATCCTTCAGGCGTTTATAAGGGCTGATGAGAGAGTTCTACATCACCAATTACTCTCACAATCTTTGTGGCAGACTACAATTGTTTCATTTTTTTACTGAAGAGCATCTTGCTCAGCTGGATCGTATAACTTTGTGATGTAAAAATAACCACACCAAGATGTTAAACCTTTGGGATCTTCGAACCTTGCACGAAAGGAGGTTTCTTTACATAGGATATGTATTCATTTTGCTTTTTCTCAATGTTGTACTTTACTATCTGCACTATCTGGCTAGAGTTTAGACACCATTGGACATTCATGCCATGCTTTAGTGGTTTATTTACCTGTAATTTCTCACTTACATTGATCTCCATCTAACAACTGAGTTTGTGGGTGCTGCCACTTTTGCGCTTGAACAATGTCTTTTGTGCTCTAGAAACTAGGCTGACTAGTTGAAGAAACATGTCGTACCCACATCCTGTACCTTATTTTGCTTCTCAGTAGCAAAGATGCTTTATTCAACTTGTGAAAATGACAACAAAATACATTTTGACAAGGTAAAACCTGTGACATAATTGATTAAACAGCTTTTGTACCCCTTTGGGCCACCAAGTCACAATGGTGAAAATGATCCTTTTACACGCAAGATGATGACATACAATACACAAAGCTGTTGCTGGTTTCAGTTATGCCATGAAATTAGGAAACTGAGATGGTTTATGTCACAATACCATAACCCCTGGAGTACAGAACGATGGGTTGCTGATAACAATCTTGGTGAAAACGAGCATATGAACTACGTTTTGCAGCTATCTAGTGACGAGTATTGCAGCTAACTATGCAGTGAAGAGCTTGTTATTTAACAGCAAACAACCAACAATGGAGTGCCAGATAAGATTTCTAGTGGAGAAGGACATAAAGAAACGTTTCCATGTAAGAGACTGGCGAGTCCATGGAGACAATTAGAACATAAAGACAGGAGCTAGCCAGAACTCGTTATTGGATGTTTCATTGAGAAATATTGGAGAAAATATTATTGTGTACCTACCACGAGGAAAATCAGAAGAGAAGATGTATAGTAAGGTTGAGATCCAAAGAATATGACATCAACGGACATAAGATATCGACGAAGATCAGGTTAATAATAACTATACCCTTTTTGAACTCGAGAGCAAGACATAGTTGAGAGCACGGGGGCTAGTTTATCTTTTCCGGAACTAAGTTATGAACAAAACATATGCTCCCAAAGACACGTGGATGGATAGAGTAAACATCCAACTGAGGAAACAGTACGGAATGTGAACCTGATTTTGAATAGAAAATGAAAGGCGAATCTATTAATTAAATAGCAAGACGCAAGGACCCAAAAACGCAGCGGAACAGTCTCAATTAAATATCTATTCCTCTTTTCAGCTAATCATTTTGTCGAGGGTTGTACAAACATGTTAGAAGTTTGCTTTTAGTTGTTGTAGTAATTACTTCAATTAAAATAAGTCGTTTAGTTTAAGATAGAATTTGAATTATGAATTTTAGTTAGGTTATTTGAATTCTTGAGATATTTTAGATTGTATTAAATTTCAAATTAGACATATTTTTATGTTGACAATTTAAAGCCCCTCAATGCTTTATAAAATTATTAAAATTAATTTAAAGCTATTGAAAGACATTTCAATCCATTGAGAGACATCTTCAATCCTTTTGTGCTT